AAAAAATTTTAAACTTAGAAAAATAAAAACTAGATGCAATGGATAGTGAAATTATGGGTGATTTTTAATCTTCCCTCTTTGTGTTTTCAAATATTCTAAAGTTAATATATGATAATTTTATAATAAAAGTTTAAATATAATATGTACTTATCTACCACTGAAACATAGTGATGGCTTAAGTAAAAGGGAAGAGAACAAAGCAGACAAAATGGAAGTTTTACTCAAACAGGAGCAGTTTCATAAGGACTGGCCTTCAAAACATGACTGACTGAGCATGCACAAATTTCTGAAAATTCTAAAATAAAAGGTTTAACACATATAACAAAAGAATTATAAAGAACAAATACATATTCCTATTAATCTTAGAACACTGTGGTATTCAAAAATGAATCACCAAAAGGCTATTTTGGAAAGCAGTAAAACCAGCATTCCTCCACTATAATAGAGGAGTTACACAATGTTTTATTATTTAATCCAAGCAGAAAAAGCAGAAAATTAATAATATTTACTTTCTCTAATGACCTCTGACTCTCTCATCCATGTCATTTTCTTTTATTTCTCCCTCTCTCTTAGCCGCCTCATAGGATTAAAAAAAACTAAAAAAAACAACCGAACTATTGTTCAAGATGATAAAAATAATCTTATCTCATTACAAAACTTATATCTTTACATTGTTCCTTTCTGTTAGATCAGAGAAGGAAGACACTTTTTTCCTAAGGCCAATTAAACAACTCTTATCCCTCAACAACAAAAAAAGGAAATGGATAATGATTTATATAACAATACTAAAACACCTTACATTAATTGATTTGCCATTGTATAGAGTTTTACTTTGCTTGGGAGAAAGACAGAAAACAAATAATAAGCCTATCTAATTTTTACTTTAAAGACAGAATATAAAACAACTTAATATTCTCAGTCTTTTAACATATATTTGGAATACTCNGTGCCACCAGTGGTTAGCAAACCACACTTTGAAAATATTTATTCCATTTAAGTTAAGGAGGAAAGATTTAGAATCTGAAGGAGAAGGGGAAAGGCCTTCTAGCGACTCCAGGCCCAAATGAAATAAAGCTCTTTGGCTCAAAGTTTGGTGCAATTTTCTCAAATCAGAATCTCTAAACTCTGGAGGCCCATGGTTAATATATTCAGAGCTCTACAAATTCTGTGTGAGGATTTGTAAAAACCTGTGTTATCATTTGGTGATGGTCAAAGGAAGTATATTCTAAATGAACCATGTTGTAAAGCAGGTTCTGCCATGAAATTTCAGTGCTTATAAATGCATTTCAATTTATAATGGCGTTTGCCTCATGAGTCCTTCTTGTTTGTGGCAGGTGACTTGTTTCACGAGTTCAAAGAGTGGAATTAGGCAAATAATGATTTCACATTAAGTGAAAGCCAAAAGAAATTATAAATAGCTGCATAGGGGAAGGTATCATGGTAGTTCAAAGAGAAAAAGTATTGGGCAATGTGAATCATGGTTAAAACAGCTAGTACTGTCTGGTACAGCGGTTAAATATCCATGAAATAATGTCATCTTTCAAGTTAAAATAGTGTTACTTTTATGCTTACTGGTTTTATTCAATCTTAATTTATTATTGTTTCATTGTTGTGTAGCAACTGAAAGCATAAGGATTTAAACCAATTTTTCTTTAATGTTTTGTTTAAATGACATCATGACAAAAATAATTTAAGTCAATACAGGAGGCCCTTGAGAATTCTTTTTCCTTCCAAAAGGAGTTAACCATTACCCAGCTGGAGAAACGCTGCTGGAGTAAATCCCCCACAATACTTCCTTCATAGTTAACATCTCTTTTATGATATGTAGAAGGCTATAATTTGACTTTTGTGTGTTTTTGAGCCTTGGACTATTCTTCATGATTACAAATTACAGAAATTTTCATGGTGGGTGGTAGATAACTGAGCATATAATAGTCATGCTTTAAGAACTGTTAACTTGTAAGAGATTGTTCATTTTTTTTAACAATTTTTGTATTACAAACTGAGACGCTGAAAAGTTCTCAAAAATATTTTGTTTCTTTGATTGCACTTAAGAATCCATTTATATTATTATTAACTTTTTGAAAGAGACCTTGGGGGCACACTTTACACCCAAAGTGTAAAAAACTAAAGCCAACTGAAACCAATGAGAAATAAAAGTACAGTATTTACTCAATTATAACATAAGTCTGTACAAATTGAGTTGGCATCAAGATTTTGCATGAATAGATCGATTAATAAAATAGTTTGTTACATAAGCCTTTTCTTTTTTTGTTTATTCGGCTGTTTAGCTTTGTGAAAACTTAGCAAAGTGAAGGGAGATTTTTCTCCATATAACTTTAAAAAACTCGAAGGTTTATAAATTTAAAACCAATTTTTAATGAACTTTACTTATAGGTCCTTGAGATCTTCTGGTAAGGTTGGCAAAGCTCAACACTTACCTGAGATTCATCAAGGGGTCTTTGGAATTAGAATTATAACTTCATGCCTGTTCCACATGCGAAGATGGCTGCATGTTTTTAACACTCAGGAAATCTCACATGCTTTTCAACTCTCCTACCATTTTCATTGACTACTTTGTAAAAGACTTTGCTTAATTGCTTAAAGAATCATATCAAGAAGAACTTGGTGAGAAATGATAATAACTCCAAAGAGAAGCTAATAGGACAATTTGGAACCATGAACTAGCCTGCCATCTCATGTGTTTCTATGATACCTTGTACAGTCCTACCAAACTAGAAAAAAAATTACATTTTAATGCAATTTTTCTTACACAAAACAGTCCAAATTTTGTTATGCCATCGTTATTCAGTTATGATATTCCAAACCCCAAAAAGTAATAAAGTTGTATAAATTATATGTATTTGACCATGCTCCGGGTCAGGAGACAGCCAAGATGGAGACTGCTGTGTGATGTGACATCCCTTTTCTCACTCTAACAGAGCCAGAAGGTCTGGGGTAATGGGTGTTTGCAGCATCACCTAGCAAATGCTCTGCTCTCCCTACAGTCTTGGTGTCACACCCCTTAACAGTCCAGAGATCAGCGGGGTTATTTGGGAAACACAAAAGAAACAGTGATCACCAAAGCTCATTGTTTCAGAGATATGAAATGTTAAGGAACACAGTTCTTAGCACAAGTACCAGGTTAAAATAAGCACAAGTAAAGTCAGGTTTTACAAAATCCGTCCTCAGGGTAACCTTTATGAAGGCAGTGATGGGTTATCTGTAGATTCATAAAAATATCAGCGTGATCGGTTATATCTGTCTTTACATATTAACATGATTTGGCCAATTATGCTTTTCATCTGCATGGGTGGCCAGGTACGCCTGCAGTCCTTTCTGCATCATATGTAATGTAATGAATGAAAAAAGCTGACTGTTCAATAGTACATTGTTCCTTAAAGTGGGAAATTGGACCACGTCTATCAATATATCCTGCAGTACCTGCTAAGAAATGCACATTTCAGGGTCCCATCTCAGAAGTACCACATCAGAATCTCTAGGCATTGTTACCAAGCCTCGCTGGTAATTCTTACTCCAGTTGAAATGTGAGTGCCAAAGCTCTAGGGACAATTTTCACATCTCTGTTGCTTTGCCCACAGTAAATAAGAATAAGGAATATGTGTATACAAAGCATGACTCACCTTGTGAAAGCTTCCATAGAAAATTTTCCTAATTTCAGGTCCTTCAAAAGTAACAGTTTGAAAGTCCCCACTATAGTCATAGTTGAAATATGTTAGGGTTTTCCCACCATCTAATCAAACAAAGGAAAATAAAAACATTTTAGAAAGATTTAAAATGAGTGAGTGATATTTTTCTAAAACTCAACTGAATACTAAAAATAATGCATCCATTGTTTTGAAGCTCTGTTCAGGACAACATGATGACATAAGTATGGAAGCAATCTATATAGTCGTTAGGTTGCCCCAGGCATCCCATCCTGTTGGCTAGATTAACTTATTTATCTATATGGTGATGATGGTGAGGCAGGGGTCCTAAACACATTCTTCCTCTATACTTCCTTGCCTGTGCTCTCATCCATACCACCCGATTGGGAGGTTGTCTGAAGCTAGGAGCAGAGGAAAACAAAATGGGAGAATGAAGTTAATAAAACCTTAAGAAACAGAAATCAGACTCTTTGCCTAATTAACCCGCTAGAGCAACCAACTTTGCCAGGACGTGGAACTTATACCACCCCAAAAGAGTGATATGCCAATATGTCTTTTATTATGAACAAACAAAACCCTTTCTAATCTTGAGTACTTCATGTTACAAGGAATATTTTATTACAAAGAAATAGGAATATTTTTCTAATTCATTCCCAGGTTACCATTTAATTCTTCACTCTGCTTTCAAAAGTCTTGATCATTTTGAGAGGCTTCTTTGTTTTCGTGTCCTGGGTGTAATGGAGTTAGTGGCTTACACTCTTTTAATCTATAGCTTTCCCTTAGCTTTAATATCAATGCAAAATGCTTTCATAATATCGTATTTAGCTGTTGATTCATTTCCATGTACTGAAAAGTCCTTTCACATATACTAGTTGAAAACAAGCTTAAAATACTTTCCTTATCCAAATATTTGAGTGAGCATCTAACAGTAGCCACTAAATTTTGGTTCCTAGCTTCACTGGTATCCTAAACTAAAACTCTATTTAGAAAACGCATTGACATTCATCAAACACTCGATGATCCTCTTAAATAATCATTATGTGTGACATCCCAGACTGTGAGTTTAAAAAGCTTCCTTCATTGGCTCTTTGTCAATTTTCCAACATCCAAACAATAGTTTCCCAGTCTTCAGACCTATTCTGTTCTCATTCTAGGACTTACTCTCTAGATGATCTCACCTAGTATCATGGCTTATACCAAGGGTGCCAAAAAAATGTATGCACATGACTTGTATCCATCTTTTGTTATGGTATATATTGAGTATGACAACTTTAATACAGTTTTTTCCTTTCTTAAAATGTGTATA